AATACCGCATGGCCTATTAATTCACACGAGCATAAAATTCGACTAAACTCTCTTATTCAAATGATAATTGCAACATGTAATCCAGTGACATTGGTGGATAATGCGAGTTTTAGAAAGTTAGTTAATACCTTGGATTATAAATTTTCATTGCCTGCTTCTGCCAAAATTACTAGCCTACTTAATGAAGAATTTACTGTTTTAACGAGAAAACTTCGTGACTTCATATCTGAAGGCAGGCGCTTCACAATATGCCTTGATGGCTGGACTAAAAAAGGTCTTACTGCGTCCTTTTTAGGAATTTCGGTTTGTTTTTTTCACTTCAAATCCGAAAAACCAATACATGCTCTGCTTAATTTGTATCTTGTGAAACATCCACATACAGGTGAACAAATTGCTAATTGTTTTGAAAAATGCCTAAAATATTGGAATATTTCCAGAGAAAAAATATTGCTTGTTATTTCGGACAATGGAGCAAACATGGTCAAAGGCATAAAGTTGTCGAGAATGAAAGCTCAAGCTGAACGTGATATACTTATTGAATTAGAAAGTGAGGTTAATGAAGAGCAGATAACAGATCTGGAAGACGATGAGAATATGACAAATAGTGAAGAGTGGGAACATGTTGACTTGATAGTTGATGTAATAGAAAACGTAGCATTTAGAAGATTGGGATGCATTGCACATGTTATACAGCTAGTTGTAAAACTTGCATATGATGGTAAATATCATGGCTTACTTTTGAAGGTACGTGGATTAGTGGGAAAAGTTCGCAAATCTTCTGTTGCATTGGAAAAAATTATCAACAAATGTGGTAAGACTGTGATCAGCGACTGTTCTACAAGATGGAACAGCACTTACTTTATGGTTCGGAGATTTCTGGAAATAAAGACATCTATCAACGAAGTGCTTGGAGACCTTAACATTGATTCACTTGCCAATAGCGAATGGATAATGCTTCAGGATTTTGTCAATCTTTTAGAACCTTTTGCCAATGAAACTGATATTCTTCAGACGGATGCACTTTCACTATCCAGTGTTATACCTTCAATACTTAATTTAGAATGTCACCTTGAGCAATTTGGAGATGCCAAAGATGTAGCAGTTAAAATGCTTGAAGATCTACGCCGTCGTTTTGCCGTTCTTTTGCAGCCAAACGATCCTAATTTTAATCCACTGCCATGTGCCGCATGTCTACTTGACCCCACATGTGCAATAGCTCTTTTAGGTAATGAGCATACACAAATCAGAGAGTGTGCAAAGAAATACATTTTGTCAGAGGCTAAAAAATCGGTGCAACATGATTTACCTTTAGCAAGTGCATCTACTCTTTCTGTTGAGATTGCTCCAGAAATAAATGGATTAACAAAATGGAAATTTTTAGCGGCAAAACAGCGAGTAGAAAAAATAAAGCTTATTCCAGGTAATGAAGCACAAAATGAACTCAACAAATATTTTATTGAAATAAGGAACAGCTCTATGTGCCAAAATGCTTTAAATTTCTGGAAGATGAGACGTGCTGTTTACCCACATATTGCACCATTAGCTGAAGACCTCATTGCAGCTCCTGCAACTCAAGCATATGTTGAAAGACTTTTTTCAATCTGTGGCTTGCTCACAAATGGACGGAGAAATCGAATGTCAGCGTCATTGGAAATGCGAGTTTTCTTAAAACTAAATTCTCATCTAGTCTAGATGATAATCATATAATCACTAGGCCCTTTATTTGTAAAATATATGAGTAATTATTAAAGTCTATACAATAACTATTCATTAGTTTTTATTGTTACCAAATTTGAGGAGTTTTTTTTATACCTAATAATTGAAATTTTTTTAAGTTTTAGAGCAATAAGGACAGGTTGTTGTTGTGTTTTTTATTAAGGGCGGTGGGCGGGGCTCTAAACTTCTAGCCATGGGACTGGGTGTATTACATTTAATTAAGTTCTCTTTTTTTTGTTTATTTATATAACTAAGACTTACTTCTTTTAATTATATATGCCTATATTATTTATAAATTATACTAAATTATAATTAGATGAGATAAAAAATTTATACGACAAACGAAAATTGAACTAAATAAAAACTAAAATTATTTTAAGATGAACTGAATAAAAACTAGAACTAAATTTATTTACTGAACTGAATAAGAACTAGAACTAAAAACTTTGCCTCTAAACTGAATAAAAACTAAAACTAAAATTATTTTCCGAACAAAAATATCACTGCTTCTTTCTACGAAATTACTTCTTTACTATTTTCTGAAGTAGAACTACAAAAAATTTCTTTAAAGTGTTGTGATTCTAATGTACTGTCACTGCTACTGTTGTTTAATATATATACATATATAAAAAATATATATATATATATATATATATATATATATATATATATATATATATATATATATATATATATATATATATATATATATTATATATTCATCGCTTTGAAGATTAAACTTTTTTTTTTCTTGTCATGAATATCTTATTTTGCATTTTATTACGTTTTTTCTTTTTTGACTGAGATTTTTTTTTATTTCCTAAAACTTATTTAATTTATTTTTACCACCAATTTACTTTCCTTTATCAGCAATTACTTTAATTGGAATTTTGTAAGAACTGTCTCATCAACATTATAAGTGTTTTGTGGCTAAAACTTGTGTCGCAGATGTAAATATTTTGTATTGGAGAAATATTCTCCAACTGTATAACAATTAAAAGCAGTTGCTTATGCCATACTAGTAGCTTCTAGATTTTGTAAAGATAACTCATTCCTACGTAACATAAAACCACGAAGATACTGTTTCCCAGCGATTCGTGAACTTTTCTACAATTTAGGAATGCGCTTAGAAAGTCATTGCAAATTCATAGGCTAGTTTTTATGTTTTTTTCATTGGCAATCATGAAGTTTTTAAGCCTTTAAAAGATAGTCTGATAAAGATGTTTCTTCTTCGTTGGTAAAGATTTGCATGATAATGAATTTAGGTTTGCAGGCTGTATTTGGATTTAACATTTTACATTTCCTTGGATTTAACATTTTTATTTAACTATTTGGATTTAACATTTGGATTTATCATTTTACATATCCTTTTAATAGTTTACATTTCCTTGGATATCTCTTAAGTGTCATTAAATTTATTCACCTCTCCTTATATACACGATAAATTTTACCACCATGGAAAACTGCATTAATAGCTGCTCGCATTTCATTTTCATAAACTTTACCTCTATGTGGTCAGTTTTTATCATTTTATGATCATTATGCTTAACTGTAAAAAATATAAAAACATTTTTATATAATTTTACTATATTTTTAATTTTTCGATGAACGTTTCAAAAGATCTTTATTTATAAGGATCTTTTTTATTAACAAACACACACACAAATATATATATATATATATATATATATATATATATATATATATATATATATATATATATATATATATATATATATATATATATATATATATATATATATATATATATATATATATATGAATACAGTTATGTTATACAAAATAAATTATACAATATAACTGTATTATATAAACGGACAAAAGCCTTAAAATTTTTATTTTAAGGTTATATTTTGGAAAAAAAGTTATTTTAAAACAATATGACATATTGTACATGTTACTTTACTGGTTTTACATTTTGTGTGTTTGTGTATGCACCTTTATATATAGGATCAAAGGTGCATAAAAGCTTTAGGATTAAGTTTGCTAACCCGCTCCATTTTTACAAAAGTTATTTTTTTGTCATATTAGATGCTTCTATAGCTTACCAAATACAACCATACAACAGGTGAATAGTTTACCTTCAAAATGGCATAAGCAAAACTACTCAATTCCAAAAAATATTAAAAATGTGAGGTTCTTTGTAAAAGTAAAAAAATTACTTTTTGTCGTCAAAATCGAACTTTTTAGAAATAAATTTAATTGTGGTTATCAGAAGATGCAATATTTATAACATGCTGGTTATCAGCCCTTTTTAATAAGTTAATTAAGTATGGAGATAACGCTATAGGATCAAAGGTGCTTACGGAAAAAGAGTGCAAGTTCTCCCTTAGATTATTTAACAAAAAAGTAATTAAAAAAATTTAAACCAGAAAATTTTTTTCTTTAGGGGAGGAGGGGGATAGGGGTGAGGTAGAGGGGAGAAGGTGTTAAAAATTTGTTGCATAACTTTAGCGGGAGGAGAGTGGAGTTGTAAAGTATGGAGATTTTTCACCAGAGGGAGGGGTTTAAGTGTCCAAAACAGTCAGAAATTGCATGAGTTAATTTTTGGATAACCTCTTATTAAAATATCTTCATAACATTGTTTTATTTAGACAGCTTTTTCTATTCTGCAGCTTAGTTTAATTCAATTTTAAATTTTTTGAAAACGATTAAGTAAAGAGGTTTTTTAAATACTTATTTTAAACGTGTTGTGATTTTGTGGATGAAGATATAGCACTAAAATCCGAATTATTTTTTTTGACTTGGAACTGACATTTGCCAGTAAACTTATTTTTAGTTTGAAAATTCAAACTTAATATATGAAGTTAACAGGTAAATAAAACATATAGAATAAAGTAAATTATTAGAGAAAAACTTGAACGTTTTTTTTAAAGATTTGATTTATTTAGAAATATATTTTGACGTTGTATCACTGACTGACGTTTTATTGACTCTTAACGCAAAAAAATTACCAGCTTCAATTCGACTCTCTAATTACTTGATTTATCAGCCCTTACAAATTATAAGGACAAGTAAAAAAACTTCAATTTTTTAAAACAAGATTTTTGTTTAAAAGGAGATAAGGTAGTTTTTTACTTGTTAAACATTGTTGGAATCAACAACTTAATATTGTTTAGTAATGGTTTGGTAAATTTTGCTTGAATTGTCTCCACATTAAATATTTGGGTAGTACAAACAATTTTTGACAGATGTTCAATTAAATAAATTCATTTGAAACAGAATTTAAACGAATAATAATCACCGCCGTTTACTTGTTGGGTTTTATGTTAGCTCAAGAAACAGGTGTTAACAATAAAAGAAACATACTTATAAGGGAAAAAAAATCAGATTTATATAAAGCATATCATGTTTCTATTGACTGCTATCGTATGTTCAAGTCTTTTAGCCTTATCTGCAGGATGGGTCAAGCAGATGGAAAGTAAGTAAAAGTTACATAAAATTAATTTGTAATTTATCTCTGACAATAGAGCTAGGATTTTAACTGTTATATAAATAATATATTTTAATTTCTGTTTATATTTATTTTTAGGGGTTTCTTTGCTAAAATATTTTTTTGGTGGTTTTTTATAAGAAATAAATGTTTTTTACAAAGCATTTACATAAGGATTTAGTAATGCGTTTTTTTAATTTTTTTTAATTTTCACCCTCACTGAAGTACATAACTATTTAATTTAACTCAAAATATTTGTAACATTTAAATTTTTCTTAAACTTAAAACCGTTTTATAATTTATATTTTATTTTTAATTTAATTTGTTTCGCAAAACGTTTGAGGTATTTTGTCAAATAAATTAAGAAAGTACCAGATAAAGTAAATAACGCAGATCAAATATATATATATATATATATATATATATATATATATATATATATATATATATATATATATATATATATATTATACATACATAAATATATATATATATATATATACATATATATATATATATATATATATACATATATTTATATATATATATGTATATATATATATATATATATATATATATATATATATATATATATATATATATATATATATATATATATATATATATAGTTAGTTTTATTTTTAATTATGTTTTAATATAATTTAGCCCCTGGTTTTTATCAGGGAGATATACAGTTGTCACCTGAACAATGGGAAAGTGTACAAAATAGAAGCAGTCCATTCGGTTCAATCAGAAACAGACGTTGGCCAAATGGAAAAATACCATATGCTTTTGAAAATTCTTTAGGTAAGAAAGTTTTCTTTACTGTTGTTAATTACTTTCAATTAAATTACAAACAATAATAGTTAAATTAAAAAATAAGCTCAAAAAATAAAAATCATTATTTTTCAGGGCAACAAGGAAGAGATGCAGTAAATGCAGCAATTGCAGATTATCACAAATTTACGTGTTTAAGATTTACTCCACGGAGGGGAGAGTCAAACTATATATCTTTTTTCAGTGGTACTGGGTAAGAAATAAAAATACTCTAATTTGGCATTAAAAATATGCTAAAAAGTTTTTATTTAGCTACCATAGATTACTCATATTAAGAACACCTCAAAATTTATTTTAAATTTTTGTCATCCATGATGGCAACATTATAGTTAAAATAAATATACAACGTTTTATATCAAAAACATGATTGAGTTTTGCACCTTTAGATTAAATTAAAAACTAATTTTGATATGTAGATGTAACTCGCCGGTTGGAATGTATGGTGTAAATAGAATTTCATTAGGTGCTGGTTGTCTTGATAAAGGAACTGCTCTTCATGAAATTGGACACAGCATTGGTAAAAAAAAAAAACTCTTTAATTTCTACTATGTTAAACTTTTTTTTGAATTTAAACTTTATTATTATTATTTAACTAAAAAATTATTAAACCGAAAAAAACTTTAACAATTTAGGTCTTCAACACGAACAATGCCGTCCTGACCGTGATCAACATGTAATAATTCATACCAAAAATATTGATGGGCGTAAGCATTTATTTCTTTATTACTAACAATAAAAAACAGTGATGAAACAAAATATTTAATGTTATAAACGGCATAAAAATAACATTGCCACTTTTTTCATAAAAATATTTGACAAATTATAAGTACCAATTAAAAGATTACATTAATAATTAAATAGTTTAAAATAAAAAGTATAAAGATACAATACGCAATCATACTTCATGATAAAATTTTGCAATTTTCTATTTTATTTATTGTTTTACATTTAACAGCATGGGCGTATGCTTTCGCAATTTCAAACGAAGTGGATTCTCTTGGTACACCATATGATTTAAGTTCCATGATGCATTATAGGTAACAGTAAGAATATTTAATATAGATAATAGCCACGAGTTTAATTACAAATATTTTTATAAATGTTTCAATTAAATTTATTAAATTGTTTTTATATTTTGTAATTTAGTTCAACAGCATTTGCAAAGCCTAACACTAAAACAATAACAACAAAAGATCCTTCAAAGCAAAAGCTTATTGACAACTATAACAGAATTTTCGGCTTTAGCTCAACAGATATTGTTCAAATTAATAAAATGTACTCTTGTGGAAAAAAACTTATATAACAACCTAATGTGAAAAAAATTAATATAAACATTTTACTTATTTAGAGTATTATTGACTTTTTTTTCTTCAGTTGAGGTTTATAAGTTTTGTGAGGAGTTCACTCTTCTTAGAACTCTAAACTCTCCTTTGGGACCACTAACCTCTGGTTTTTTGATTGACCTCTAACCTCTAGTTGTAAACCAACCACCCTTTTAAACTCTTGCTAAAATCTTACTAAAGAATTTTTTGCAAAATTTTAAATTCACAATTAATAGCAATAGTAAAATTAGTAATGAAATTATAATAAGTTATAATAAAATAAGTTATAATAAATAAAAATATCAATATAAAAATTTATTTATAAACTCTGTTGAAGTCTTCAATTATATTTATACATTAAATGGAAAATACTTGAAAAGAAAAAAAAAGTACCATAAAGTGATAATAAAATAAAAATAGAATTACTAGTGTAATTAAATAAGATGCAATAGAACGTTCAATGACATTGATACTATTTAATAGATTATATAGTTGCTAATATTTTAATTTTGGATATTTAAATATGGGCCAACATCGATGCTAGCAGTTATTTGGTATCAGACCATTTAAATTGGGACAACACACAGAGGGATATTTGAAAAATTAAAGGTCTATAAATAATTTTGATTATTCAAAATGACATTTTGAAAATAATACTTATCTCCTTTGAATAAAAGTCTTTTAAGTGTCTCAAGCCCAATACTTTACCTTTTTTTATATTTAAAAAAATTTGATTGGTCAATCTAAGTAGTATTAATGTTTGTTTTTAGCAAATTAGCTTGAAAACAATATCATAACATTTAGCACATCGAAAGATTTAGATGCAGCTAAATAAAAGACAGAAAATCAATTTTAGATATATTTAAATTAATTAAATTAGCAAATAAATTTAAACAAATTATAAAGTAATATTAAACCAAAAACAAGCAGCTCAAAAATATGACCACCGGTAATAAATATGTATAAATGAAAAGCATCTTAATACGTTTGGTAAAAGAACAGTTCTAACTATGACCGAAGAGTTGCATAATTTGTCTATCATTAAACCACACAAATTATTCGACCTTTAACTTATGAATCTGATAAAACTCATTAATAAGACCCATTACATTATCAATGGATGACTAGTAAATGTGGTAAATGGTTTTGTGATACTTGTTCATTTTTATTAATTAGATAATACTTCAATTTGAATTTATATATTTTTGAATACAAAATTTGTATTTATATGTTTTTGAATTCAAAATTGTATTCAAAAAAAAAAAAAATTTAAATTGAAGTGTTACCTAATTAATAAAAATGAAAAAGTATCACAAAACCCTTTGCCACATTTACTAGTCATCCATTGATAATGCAAAGGCACATTTAATGTACGCAAAAATTGTCTTTGATATAAAAATCCAAAATTAAATTATTTGTTTTTTGTATAAAAACAAAATGCGATAAGTAAAAGCATTTTTTTTTTTTTTTTTTTTACTATTAAAAATTTTTTTTTTTTTTTAATTTCTATTTTTGGTGCCCCTCGAAGTCCTAACGGTCTAGTCATAAAACACCGCGGAAGAGCATTTAACAAATTTAACATTTTATTTTATTTTTTCTATATATATATATATAATGGAATCCGAACATGCACTTCATTGCTAATTCATCCAAACATGCACTTCATATGCTACTTTGAATTTTTTTAATAGTGTTTTTTTAACTAATTTAGTAAATAAAACACAGGCACGCCGGAACGGGGTTGCCTAGGGTAGCAATTGCTACTCCTGCGCTTTTGGCTGTGGTGGCAAGGGTAGCATGAATGTGCCCTTTGGGGTCGTCCATAAATTACGTCACGATGTTTTTGACATTTTTTGACCCCCTCTCCCTCATAACGCATCCGTAACACTTTATTGACCGGTTCCCCCCCCCCCCCCCCCAATATTACGCAAGAATTTTGTACCTCCCCTCCCCGCCTCCTTAAAAATTTTAAAGTTTTTTTAGAGAGGATGGGAGGGGGTGCAAAATTTTACAAAGTACAAAAAGATATAATAATGTCAATAATTCTCTGAGCTTCTTTGAATTAAATAATTAGTACTTTTTAGTCTGTTTAATGTTTTTTTTCACCCCAATAATTCCGTGTAAAATTGTATAAATTAGCATTGCTTTCCTAGACATGATATCAATTTTAAAAATCTATTTTTCCGATGTATAATATATGAAAAATATTATATATATATATATATATATATATATATATATATATATATATATATATATATATATATATATATATATATATATATATATATATAATATATAATATATAATATATAATAAATGATAACATATTATACATGCAAAAATATTTAAGTTTTTTTGTTGCTGCACATTTTTGTGCTGTAACCGTTAACAGGCTGTAACGGAAAGTACACTTCGACTAAGTAAGATTCAGGCGTAGTTAATATTACAATCAACATGTAGATTCATCAACTGAGGGTTTGGTTTCGTCATATACTCTTTTAATGGGGTACCGTTGCGGTTCTAAAAATAGATTTTTTCAAAGCTTTCTGTGATCGAAATGCGAACAAACATTGCACGGAAACAAAAAAATTTCTTAAATTCGCGAGTGGTTGTGGGGTTGATATTCAGACAAACAAACAACTTGACGTCACCAAAACGTTGTTCCATCGGTTAGTAATTCGGTTTGTAAAGAAGTGGCTGTTTTTTCTCAGATTATATCGTGAATTTAACAAAAAAGGCTGGGCTTGTGGTATTTAAAATGTAACTTCTTGCAACTGATGAGCAATTATGTATTGCAGTATAAGGTCACTGCAAATTCTGTGTTTTTCCAGCGTGGTTAGATCTGGTAGCTGTAGTCGTTTTTCGTAATTAAAATGTTTAATCGACGATATAACTTTTGTTGCACGTTTTTGCACACGTTCTAGAAGGACAATTTCCGATTTAAGATGTGGAGACCAGGTTTGAACACAATACTCTAGATGCGGTCGAACGTATAGCAGGTACAATTTCTTCCATAGCTAGAGTCTACGGCATCGAAATATCTTTTTGAGACGACCAAGCATTCGCTTTCCGGCCGAATCTGCTGCATCTACTTGTACTTTCACTTTGAGGTTGTCGAATATTAGTACCCCAAGGTCGCGCTCAATGCACGTTGGAGATAAGTTATGTCGGTTACCGTTGATGTCTGCCATGGTATAGGTATGTGTTGATTTATTTTTGCGGCTTTTTTTGTTTAGAACTAATATGTTTCCAAAATTCAATTCGAAATTAAATAAAATATGTTAGTTTTCTATATTAAATTTTATTTTTCTTGCTATCGGCATACGTAACAACTTTTTGTTATTATGCTTTAAATCTCTATATATATTCCAAATGTTTTTTAGTAGATGTTTTGCAAAAAAGCAATAGTTTTTGAGGTTGTATTTTTATTTTTGAGAAAAAATGAAAAAAAAGGAACGAATCGTAAAGACAATATACAAATATAAAACAAATATTGCTATAGTTTATTTAGCATTTTTATTTTCGATGATTATTTTCATGTGGTGATTATTTTCGACGATTATTTGCGTACAAATTTATCTTCGTTGCACAGACAATACCGCGTGTGCGACGATTTTTTCGATATTGAGATACGCACACAGAGTTTTTCGTCTCTAAGTGACGTATTTGTTGATATCATCATAACTTTAAATATAGCCACCAGAGGCGCTGCAATCGAAGTAACCCAGGACCACCTATGTGAAGATTTACGCGCAACGCCTATCTGAGCAGCACGTATCTTTTCTATTTACTTTATTTTTAAAATAAATAATTGTGTTGCGCTTTAACGAGTTTTGTAATTTACCATATTTTATTGAAATTAATTGTTTTATTGACTTATCCTGAAGTCGTAAAATATAGCTGCGTTTGAACTGTAAAAAATATGTTAAATTTATTAATAATGTGAAACTATTATTAAATCTGTTTTATCATTTGTTTTGTCATTGAATATCATAAAATTATATAACTTTAAATACAATCAGATTTTTAGAAGTCTAGTTAACAAATTACACAGGTCAACAACAACAACAAAAATTTCTGTTGCCGAGCAAACAATTAGTTTTTTTATAGCATTTTTCATTTTGATTTCAAATATGAAACTCATTTTTCACCATTACATCAAGTTGTAAATATATTTGGGTTTAAATCTTTAATATTTGGGGTAAAATACCTAATATTGTTTAAAAAAAGTTATTTAAAAGTATGTCAACCTGGGTCTCAAAAGAAGCGTATTTTCATAGAGATTTTAAAAATGCTATTTGTTTGCAATAAAAATAAGTATATTTTGTATTATTGCTTAAAAATATTTTGTAACAATTTTTTAAAGAGTCTAAAGCATTTTATTATATTTTTTGTTAATAAGTTTAAAATATTTATCCTTTCTAAAATCTCTATAAAAATACGCTTCTTTTAAGACCCAGGTTGACATATTTTTGAATAACTTTTCGACAATATTTGGGGCTTTGCGCCAAATACTAAAGATTTGAACCCAAACATCTGTACAAATTGACGTGATGGTGAAAAATGAGATGCATATTTGAAATCAAAATGAGAAATACTATAAAAAAAACTAATTGTTTGCTTGGCAACAGAAAAAAAAAATTTTTGTTGACCTGTGTTATTATTCTTAAAAGACTTGTTGGTTTTAACGTTACAACCTGTTTTTGCAAGTAAAAACTGAAATAATTAATCAGTGCATGTACAATATAGATCATAAAGTATTTACTTATGACTTAGGGTAAAGCGGGGCTAGTTGAGCATAGGGGCAAGTTGGGCAACTAAAATATCTCAAAAACTACTCATCTCATGGCAAAACATAAAATGGATAGAATGTAGGTATATAAGGTAGGTAAGCGCTGTTTTTTTAAAGTAGTATTTGACTGTTGAGGCAAAATGAGAGAATCATAGCATTGCATTTTTCAGACAAATAAGCGGCCTTGACTCTACCAGGACCGGCCAGTTATCAAATATTTGAGTTTTTGCATCTT